GGACTAGGTTTGCATTGACCTCAGAATGTTCCCCACTGACTAATATCTTCTTTAACCCCAACCTTCCAGATAGTTTGGCCGTGTCCCGGATGCTCCCTTGGGTCATGGCCAAACTCTTCCAATTGCGCCACCTAGTAAACCCTGTGACTCAGAAGTTGCAGCCATTCTCATACCTCCAGAAAAAAGATCTGCCTTCCCAACATTTTTATATATACCTTCAGATACACCATTTGTTCTCCACCATGTTCCCTACTTTGACTCTTGGGAAACCCTCTCCCTTTGAGCGTCTCTGCACACAGGGCCCACATCAAAAGGGCATAATTTCTAATACAAACAAACTCTTAATGGACGCTACTCCCCTTTCTAATGACACTCACCATTACATGCGGAAGTGGTCCCAGTTTTTGCAATGTGACTTTGATTTAACACAATGGAAGAAAATTTGGGAAAACACATCTAAATCTTCTGTTTGTGTGGTTTATAGAGAAAATACATACAAAATTTTGATGCTGTGGTACAAAACCACCGATGTTATTCATATTTTTACCCAAATGATTCTTCCGTCTGCTGGTGTTGTGGGAAAGATTGTGGCTCCCTCTTCCACATTTTCTGGACTTGTGGATCCATTGTCCCTTTTTTTCGGAAGAGGTTTTGTCTTTTTTACAATTGTCATTGAATACCTCTCTCCCCATTGAGCCTTTATATTTTTTATTGAGCCTGCCATTCCCAGGTCTCTCCAAAGTGGCCAGGAAACTCACCACACATTTTGACTGCGGCCAGAAGAAGCATTCCTATGTGCTGGCTATCCGCTACACCTCCTTTGATGTCAACCCTGTTTAAAATTATTGCTGATGTGCGACGGATGGAATACATGACTGCTGTACATAACTGCTCGACTGTTGTGTTCGAGGCAGTGTGGCACCCATGGGATAATTTCTCCCCCTCCCCCACCTTTCTCCAGCTGTACTGTTCTGATGGCTTCCCCACTTTAGCTATGTGACTTTATTATGTTTGCAACCATGCAGATTTTACCATCGATGTGCCTCTTTTTTTCTTTTTTGTTCTCTTTTAACGTGTTCTTTGTATATAAATATATGTGAAAAACAATAAAAATTGTTAATACAAAAAAAAATAAAGTCACATTGTTTATAAGCTGAATTTTGTAAGATGTTGAATATGCTCATACTCTGTTATCTATACCCTTTACAAATCTGTAAAACATTATTGCAACAATACTGTTAATTGTTGTAAACAATCAAATGACCAATAAAAAAAACAAAAAAAACAAAACAAAAAAAAAAGGTCATGCACAGATGGGAGCTTGTTACAGACGGACCTGGCATTCCCGAGGGCACATGAAATTGGGGGCTGGTGCTTGGGAGCAGGGGGATAGAAATTAAACTAAGTAAATTCCAGCTAGGAGGAGGAAGGTGGCCAGATGTGGGGTTTGAAGATAGATAATGGGAGGCCAGGATTGGTGGAAATGTCCCTAGAGATTAGGAGCAGAAAGAGGGTGAGGAACATAAGATGAGAGTGGGATGTATATGAGCGCACATATTTCACTTCCCTGGTATTTGTGGCAGCATGTGGGTTCAGTATTTGAAAGAGGTGATAGGTGTAGTAAAAGGGGCAGGGTACAAGAGAAGGTGATATGTACTGTAAGGTGGAGATGAGGGGTAAAATAAGGACAATTTGAGGACAGAGAGCACGAATATGAGAAGGAAGACTAAAGGGAGCATTTTAATGGGAATCAGATGTCATAGGAAAAATCAAATTTTGACTTGCTTGCCATTCTTCCAGAGTGAAGCACAGTTCCTGATGTATCTTCATACAGCTTTCGTTATCCTGCTTGCATTAAAATGCTGCAGCAAAACATGTTGTCCGTGACTATACCCTGTCTGCGACTTCCCCATAAGCTGAATTAAATTTATAGGGAGATGGGGCTGGCAAACATTTGTTAATTGATGACATTAGGATCTGAGTTGAATGGGATTAATGCACAAATACAAGAAGTGCTGCGCTACATAAAGTAAAATACAATAAAATAAAATAATATGAAAATAAGTCCACTGTAATATCAATATATGGATTCCTCAGTCCACAATGAAATTTCTGACGTTGTAGGTGCAATCCGGTCTCCCGTTGTGATAATATAAATAGATTGCCTACTCACCAGAAACCCAGTAAAAAAACGCATATCAGTATCAGATGCATCCTAGGATCTTGAGTAAAGACAGCCCGGAAATGGAATCCTCTGATGGTCCCTCAGTGGTGTAAGAAAAGGATACTGATCTTGTCTCCAAGTGCTTACTTCATCAAGTCTGCAGCAATGCCTAAATCATTGGGGCTGAGACGTGGAGGCTCAGTGCCAGATATGGAGAATAAAGGTGCTCATAGTATAGTATTTAAAACTATAAATTTATTGCATTAAAATCTGAGCAGAAATACATACATAAATGACTGTATATAGTATGAAACTGCTATGAGCAGTAAAAGCACCCAAAAACACTGACCAGTATACATCTAATGTGGGCTGCCGGACCTCCTGATCCGGCGGCGTAGCGTCAAAGCGTGCAGTGGCCTCCACGTCTCAGCCCCAATGATTTAGGCATTGCTGCAGACTTGATGAAGTAAGCACTTGGAGACAAGATCGGTATCCTTTTCTTACACCACTGAGGGACCATCAGAGGATTCCATTTCCGGGCTGTCTTTACTCAAGATCCTAGGATGCATCTGATACTGATATGCATTTTTTTACTGGGTTTCTGGTGAGTAGGCAATCTATTTATATTATCACAACGGGAGACCGGATTGCACCTACAACGTCAGAAATTTCACTGTGGACTGAGGAATCCATATATTGATATTACAGTGGACTTATTTTCATTTTCATATTATTTTATTGTATTTTACTTTATGTAGCGCTGCACTTCTTATATTTGTGCATTAATCTAACTTAGTAACACCTATCTGAGCTCTTTAAAGACACTTGTCCAGCCCACAGTCAGTCAGACACCAACTACTACCATGGGCAAGACCAAAGAGCTGTCAAAAGACAGCAGAGACAAAATTGTGGACCTCCACAAGGCTGGAAAGGGCTACGGGGCAATAGCCAAGCAGCTTGGTGAAAATAGATCAACTGTTGGAGCAATTGTTAGAAAATGGAAGAGGCTAAAGACGAGTGTCAGTCTCCCTCGGACTGGGGCTCCATGCAAGATGTCACCTCATGGGGTATCACTGATGATAAGAAAGGTGAGGAATCAGCCCAGAACTACAAGGGAGGAGCTGGTCAATGACATGAAGAGAGCTGGGACCACAGTTTCAAAGGTCACTGTCGGTAGAACACTACGCCGTCATGGTTTCAAATCATGCATTGCACGGAAGGTTCCCCTGCTCAAGTCATCACATGTCCAGGCCCGTCTGAAGGTTCCCCTGCTCCAGTCATCACATGTCCAGGCCCGTCTGAAGCTTGCCAATGACCATCTGGATGATCCAGAGGAGGCATGGGAGAAAGTCATGTGGTCAGATGAGACCAAAGTAGAACTTTTTGGTCTAAACTTCACTCGTCGTGTTTGGAGGAAAAAGAAGGATGAGTTGCATCCCAAGAACACCATCCCTACTGTGAAGCATGGGGGTGGTAACTTCATGCTTTGGGGGTGCTTTTCTGTGAAGGGGACAGGATGACTGCACTGTATTAAGGAGAGGATGAATGGGGCCATTTATTGTGAGATTTTGAGCAACAACCTCCTTCCCTCAGTCAGAGCATTGAAGATGGGTCGTGGCTGGGTCTTCCAACATGACAACGACCCAAAGCACACAGCCAGGAGAACCAAGGAGTGGCTCCGTAAGAAGCATATCGAGGTTCTGGAGTGGTCTAGCCAGTCTCCAGACCTAAATCCAATAGAACATCTTTGGAGGGAGCTGAAACTCCGTGTTGCTCAGCGACAGCCCCGAAACCTGACAGATCTAGAGGAGATCTGTGTGGAGGAATGGGCCAAAATCCCTGTTGCAGTGCAAACCTGGTCAAGGACACTGATTTTCTCAGGGGTTCAAATACTTCTGTTCAGCAGTGCAAGACAAATACATTCTTTACAAATCATACAATGTGATTTCCTGAATTTTTTTTTTAATTCTGTCTCAGAGTGGGAATGCACCTACAATGTGAATTTCAGACCCCTCCATGATTTCTAAGTGGGAGAACTTGCAAAATCGCAGAGTGTGCAAATACTTCTGTTCCTCTCTGTAGCAAAGCAGTGTCAATCGGCAGTCATACATGGATAGAGATGGTACAGATGGATATTACACGCAGACATTTACCATATAGCAAAGCAGTGTCATTTTATTTTTGACACTACCTTTATTTATTTATTTTTTAGTTGAACTTTATTTCTATTACAAGGACTTAACAACATCTCTTGTGATACGATGGTCCATGACAGCTCCTCTTTATGAAGAGATCTGGGCTCTATTAACCATTTGCCACCCAGCCTATTGTACAATTATGGCCGGGCGAACAGCTCATCTATTCAGGAGGGCATCATATGATGTCCTTCCCGGATCATGCTTTGCGCGTGCCTGCAGGGCCGTGCTGTGGCGAGATCTGTCACCGGCCATGTACAGATCTGTGTACTGGCCCCATTGCCAGTACCATATGACCTGCTGTGATCAATCACAGCAGGTCACATGACAGTTGTATAAAATGGATGCCTTCCTTTCAAGTGAGTCTAGCTGTGAATTTTCACAGTGATCACATGCACAGGCTGGGCCAATCACAGCCCATCATGAATTGATTACATTCAGTTAAATGCTTGCTTATAGCAAATACATTCTTTGTTATAAGCAATCAAATTGTGTAAAAAAAAAAAATACTGATCACTTCCCAAAAGTAGTACAATGTTACTATGATAACATTATACGACTTTGGTCATACTGTAATATGAACATTTTTTTTTAAAGAGAAATGTAATAAAAAAATAATTAATAAATTAATAAAAAAAAACCTCCACACTCCTCTCCTGTACATACTGATCACTGTCATACCCTCCACATTCCTCTTCTGTACATACTGCCCACTGTCATACCTCCACACTCCTCTCCTGTACATACTGATCACTGTCATACCCTCCACATTCCTCTTCTGTACATACAGCCCACTGTCATACCTCCACACTCCTCTCCTGTACATACTGATCACTGTCATACCTCCACACTCCTCTCCTGTACATACTGATCACTGTCATACCCCCACACTCCTCTCCTGTACATACTGATCACTGTCATACCTCCACACTCCTCTCCTGTACATACTGATCACTGTCATACCCCCACCCACTCCTCTCCTGTACATACTGATCACTGTCATACGCTCCACACTCCTCTCCTGTACATACTGATCACTGTCACACCCTCCACACTCCTCTCCTGTACATACTGATCACTATCATACCCTCCACACTCCTCTCCTGTACATACTGTTCACTGTCATATGCTCCACACTCCTCTCCTGTACATACTGATCACTGTCACACCCTCCACACTCCTCTCCTGTACATGCTGATCACTGTCATACCCTCCACACTCCTCTCCTGTACATACTGTTCACTGTCATATGCTCCACAATCCTCTCTCCTGTACATACTGATCACTGTCATACCCCCCCACACTCCTCTACTGTACATACCGATCACTGTCATACCTCCACACTCCTCTCCTGTATATACCGATCACTTTCATACCTCCCACACTCCTCTCCTGTACATACTGATCACTGTCATACCTCCATACTCCTCTCCTCTACATACTGATCACTGTCATACCCTCCACACTCCTCTCCTGTACATACCAATCACTGTCATACCCCCCACACTCCTCTCCTGTACATACTGCCCACTGTCATATACCCTCCGCACTCCTCTCCTGTACATACTGATCACTGTCATACCCTCCACACTCCTCTGCTGTACATACCGATCACTGTCATACGCTCCACACTCCTCCCCTGTACATACTGTCCACTGTCATACCCTCCACACTCCTCTCCTGTACATACCGATTACTGTCATACGCTCCACTCTCCTTTCCTGTACATACTGCCCACTGTCATACCTCCACACTCCTCTCCTCTACATACTGATCACTGTCATACCCTCCACACTCCTCTCCTGTACATATAGATCACTGTCATACCCCCCACACTACTCTCCTGTACATACCGCCCACTGTCATACCCTCCACACTCCTCTCCTGTACATACCGCCCACTGTCATATCCTCCACACTCCTCTCCTGTACATACTGCCCACTGTCATACCCCCACACTGCTCTCCTGTACATACTGCCCACTGTCATATCCTCCACACTCCTCTCCTGTACATACTGCCCACTGTCATACCCTCCACGCTCCTCTCCTGTACATACCGATCACTGTCATACCCTCCACGCTCCTCTCCTGTACATACTGATCACTTTCATACCCTCCACGCTCCTCTCCTGTACATACCGATCACTTTCATACCCCTCCACGCTCCTCTCCTGTACATACTGATCACTGTCATACCCCCCACACTCCTCTCCTGTACATACCGATCACTGTCATACCTCCACACTCCTCTCCTCTACATACTGATCACTGTCATACCCTCCACACACTCCTCTCCTGTACATACCGATCACTGTCATACCCCCCACACTCCTCTCCTGTACATACCGCCCACTGTCATACCCTCCACACTGCTCTCCTGTACATACTGCCCACTGTCATATCCTCCACACTCCTCTCCTGTACATACTGCCCACTGTCCTACCCCCCACACTCCTCTCCTGTACATACTGCCCACTGTCATACCCTCCACGCTCCTCTCCTGTACATACCGATCACTTTCATACCCTCCACGCTCCTCTCCTGTACATACCGATCACTTTCATACCCTCCACGCTCCTCTCCTGTACATACTGATCACTGTCATATCCTCCACACTCCTCTCCTGTACATACCGATCACTGCCATGCCTCCACACTCCTCTCCTGTAGTTACTGCCCACTGTCATACCTCCACACTCCTCTCCTGTACATACCGATCACTGTCATACGCTCCACACTCCTCCCCTGTACATACTGCCCACTGTCATACCCTCCCACACTCCTCTCCTGTACATACTGCCCACTGTCATACCCTCCACACTCCTCTCCTGTACATACTGCCCACTGTCATACCCCCACACTCCTCTCCTGTACATACTGATCACTGTCATACCTCCACACTCCTCTCCTGTACATACTGTTCACTGTCATACGCTCCACACACTCCTCTCCTGTACATACTCATCACTGTCATACCCCCCACGCTCCTCTCCTGTACATACCGATCCTGTCATATTACCCCACACGTTCCTCTCTTGTACACACTGATCACTGTCATACCCCCCACCGCTCCTCTCCTGTACATACTGATCACTGTCATACCCCCCACGCTCCTCTCTTTGTACATACTGATCACTGTCATACCCCCACGCTCCTCTCCTCTACATACTGATCACTGTCATAACCCCCCCACGCTCCTCTCCTGTACATACTGATCACTGTCATACCCCCCATGCTCCTCTCCTGTACATACTGATCACTGTCATACCCCACCCTCCACGCTCCTCTCCCTGTACATACTGATCACTGTCATACCCTCCACGCTCCTCTCCTGTACATACCGATCACTGTCATATCCTCCCACACTCCTCTCCTGTACATACTGCCCACTGTTCATACCCTCCACGCTCCTCTCCTGTACATACCGATCACTGTCATACCCTCCCAAGGAGGCCCTCCACGCTCCTCCTCCTGTACATACTGATCACTGAGTTCATACCCTCCACGCTCCTCTCCTGTACATACCGATCACTTTCATACCCTCCACGCTCCTCTCCTGTACATACTGATCACTGTCATACCCCCCACACTCCTCTCCTGTACATACCGATCACTGTCATAACTAACCTCCACACTCCTCTCCTCTACATACTGATCACTGTCATACCCTCCACACTCCTCTCCTGTACATACCGATCACTGTCATAATACCCCCCACACTCCTCTCCTGTACATACCGCCCACTGTCATACCCTCCCACACTGCTCTCCTGTACATACTGCCCACTGTCATATCCTCCACACTCGACGCCTCTCCTGTACATACTGCCCACTGTCCTACCCCCCACACTCCTCTCCTGTACATACTGCCCACTGTCATACCCTCCACGCTCCTCTCCTGTACATACCGATCACTTTCATACCCTCCAACGCTCCTCTCCTGTACATACCGATCACTTTCATACCCTCCACGCTCTCTCCTGTACATACTGATCACTGTCATATCCTCCACACTCCTCTCTGTACATACCGATCACTGCCATGCCTCCACACTCCTCTCCTGTAGTTACTGCCCACTGTCATACCTCCTTCCACACTCCTCTCGTCTGTACATACCGATCACTGTCATACCTCCACACTCCCTCCCCTGGACATACATACTGCCCACATGTCATACCCTCACACACTTCCTCTCCTGTACATACTGCCCACTGTCATACCCTCCACAACTCCTCTCACTGTACATACTGCCCACTGTCATACCCCCACACTCCTCTCCTGTACATACTGAATCACTGTCATACCTCCACACTCCTCTCCCTGTACATACTGTTCACTGTCATACGCTCCACACTCCTCTCCTGTACATACTCCATCACTGTCATGACCCCCCACCAGCTCCTCTCCTGTACATACCGATCACTGTCATACCCCCCACTTCCTCTCTTGTACACACTGATCACTGTCATACCCCCCACGCTCCTCTCCTGTACATACTGATCATTGTCATACCCCCCACGCTCCTCTCCTTGTACATACTGATCACTGTCATACCCTCCACGCTCCTCTCCTCTACATACTGATTCACACTGTCATAACCCCCTACCACGCTCCTCATCCTGTACATACTGAATCACTGTCATACCCCCCATGGCTCCTCTCCCTGTACATACTGATCACTGTCATACGAGACCTCCACGCTCCTCTCCTGTCATACTGGATCACTGTCATACCCTCCACGCTGCCTCTCCGTATTGTACATACCGTTCACTGTCATACCCTCCACACTCCTCTCTCTCCTGTACATACTGATCACTGTCATACCCTTAACAAACACTCCTCTCCATTTACATACTGATCACTGTCATCAACCTCTACAACTCCTCCTCCTGTACATACTGATCACTGTCATACTCCCCAACTCCCGCACCCTCCCTACAGTAACATACCGATAACTGGCATACCTCCACACTCCTCTCCTGTACATACCAAACACTGTCATACCCTCCACACTCCTCTCCTCTCTCCTACATACCGGATCACCTTGTCATACACCCCGTTTCTCACAACTCCTCCTGTACATACTGCCCACTGTCCATACCCTCCACACTCCTCTCCTCTACATAACTGATCACTGTCCCGTACCCCATGCTCCTCTTGCCTGTACATACCGATAACTGTCATACCCTCCAACACTCCTTCTCTGTACATACTGCCCACTGTCATACCCTCCACCGCACTCCTCTCCTGCTCCTGATACTGATACCCCGTCCACTCCCCACACCTCCTCCTACTGTACATACTGATCACTGTCATACCCTCCACCCTCGCCTCCTGTACATACCTGATCACTGTCATACCCCCCACCCCTCTCCTGTACCCTGATCACCTGTCCTACTCCCCCTACACTCTCTCCTGTACATACTGATCACTGTCATATACCCCCCACACTCTCTCCTGTACATACTGATCACTGTCATACAACCCCCCACACTCCTCTCCTGTACATACTGATCACTGTCATACCCCCCACCACTCCCCTCTCCTGTACGTTAACCACGTCTCACCCCTCAACCCTCCACCCCCTCTCCTGTACATACTGTCCTCACTGTCATAACCCCCCACCCCTCTCCCTGTACAATCCGATCTCTCACCTCATACCCTCTCCACACTCCTCTACTGTACATAACTCGACCCCCACTGTCCCTATCCCCCACCCTCCTGTCCCAACATACTGATCACTGTCATACTCCACCCTACCTCCCCCTGTACATACGCATCCTGTCATACCCCCCACACCCCTCTCCTGTACTACCTACATGAGACAGCTTTCTTGCTTAAATTTTTATGTATTGGAGGTTTTCCCCCATTCCTTACCCTACCCCTCAGAATGTCTGATTGTTCACCCCCCCCCTAATGCTGAATCCTTCTTTCTAATACCCTCCCCCACCTACCTTAATGCTCTCACCAATGTTTTTGCTCCCCACCCCCCCTCCTCCCTCCTCCCCCATAGTTTCCCTTTCTATAACCATCGTCCCCCCTACCTTGCTCACCCCCCCTCTGGTTAATTCCCCTCCCACTTAGGTTTTACCCCCATCTGCCTCTTGTCCCCCTCCCTTGCCTCCCCCAATCGAATGCTCCCCCCCTAATTAAACTCATTCCCCCCTATAATAATTTTGATAGACCCTACCCATTCCAACCCCTTTGTCCCCCCCCCCACCCCTTTGGCACCTCCCCATGCCCCCTCCCCCCTCGAAAATGGACCCCTACCACTTCCTCCCGAGAAAGTTTCCTTTTAAACCCCCCCCCATTGCCCTGAAAGGCCCCCCCTTTTGGGAAACCGGATAACACCCCCCCCCTGCTACTCGCCCCCCCCGCTCCTAATCATGACATAACCATTCGACATACTAGAGCCCGCTACCCTTCCCCCCCCCAGGTCCATCTTAAAGCTTCCCCCCTCCCCCCCACAGACTCGTACGCCCCCTGGCCTGTGTACCCTCATATTCCCACCTCCCCTACTTCTGGGCTCCATACTGTCCATCCCCCTCCCCCCCTCATTAAATTGCTCTCCCAATTCCTCTTTCCTAAGCTCCCCTGGTCAAACCCCCCAGTATGAAGCAACCCCCCGCCCCCCCCCACCTCCCCCATCCCACCTACCCAGTGCCCCACCTGGGTTCCATCCCCCAGGGTTCGGTGCCTCCACCTCGCCTTCCCGGAGGTCCCCAACCCCACCCGACCTCATACCGTGATCCCCGTGCCCCTAAATCCACCCCCCATTCCCTATGTCATCCCCCCCCCCCCCCTCCGCACCCGCCACTCCCCTTTCCCTCCGCCACCTACCTTCCCCCCCACCCTCCCTTACATATGTCCTTTCCCCCCCAACCCATTACTAGAAAATCATCCCCCACCCCCTCCCCCCCCCCCCCGCCCTCCGGCTCCCCCCCGCATTACCTCCCCAGTACTCCGCCAATCATCCCCCTCACTCGACATCCAGACCCCCCACCCCCCACCCTTCAGGTCCCCCCCAGGGGGTACCCTCTGAAATTCCCCCAGTCCCATCTCCACCTATGCTCTGACCCCCCCGGCCCCCCTCCCTATACCGAAGGCCCACCACTCCTGAAATGACCCCCCCCTACACTCCCCGCTCCTCCCACACCAGCGCCCCCCCCACCCCCGCACCCTCCCCCCCCTCCCTCGAAAATCCCCTCTCCTTCCCTCCACCCGGTGTGATCCCCTCTACCGATCCCCCCTCTTCTGAGCCCCCCCCCTCCCCCCCCCCTACTTGCCCCAGGACCCTATTCCCTCCCCCCACCCCCTTTTCTTACTCCTCTGCCATCCCCCCTCTAAAATCCCCTCCCCCCCTCTAACAGCTCCCCCCCCCCCCCACCCTCCCCCCCTCACCCTCTCCCCCCCCCCCCCTGTTCTCCCCGCCCCACCCAATACTCCTCACCCACCCCACTTTCCCTTTATCCCCCCCTGCTTAATCTTTCTCCACCCCCTCACCCCCCCCCATGTGTCTAACCGACCCTCCCCCCCCCTCCCTATATCTCAACATCTGTACTATCCCCCCCGTCCCTCCCCCCCCCTCCCGCCACCCCCATTCCCGCCCGGCGTCAATGTCCTTACTTGAAGTCTGACTCCCCGCCCACCCAGGATCCCCTGCCTTAAGGTAAATGGGTCCCAACACCTTCTCCTCTTCCCCCTCCCCCGTTTCCTATCCCTCCCTCCCCCCATCCCCCACCGCTTCCACCACCTTCCCCCCCCCCACCCCCCCTCAAAAACCAGTAATACCTATAAATGCCCAACCCATTCCCTCCCACCTGGTCCATCCCCCCCTCCCCCACCCCCCCTCCCTTCCCGCATGCTCACACCTCCCGTTACCCCCCCCCCTCCCTCACTCCCCCCCCAGCCACTCTTACTCTTCACCCCCCCCCCCCCCCCCCACCCTCAAGCCCCCCTCCCGCACCCAACCGCCCTACCGCTCCCCACTTCCCTCCCCATCCTCTACCCCTCCCCCCTTCCCCACCGCCAACCCCCCACCCCCCCCCCCCCCCCCTCACCCTACCCCCCTCCTCCCCTGGGTCCCCTCTCCCCTCCTCCCCCGTATCTCCCCCCCACGCTCCCTGCCCCACCTCTCCCTCCCAATCTGCCCGCCACGCCCCCTGTCGCCCCCCCCCGCCTGTCATCACCCCTCTTCACCCCCCCCCCCCCGTCCACTGAAACCCTGAGAGTCCATCCCCTCCCCTTCTGCCCCACCCCCCTACCCCCACTCCCCCCGCGTCCCTTCACCCCTACGCCCCGCCTCTACCCAACCCCTTCACCCGCCCCCTGCCCCCACTCTTATGGCCTTCCCTCCGGTAGCCTATCCCCCACCTCCCCCTCCCCCCAACCCCCCCTCACCCCCTTCCTCACCGACCCCCCCAAATATTATATAGTATAAAAGTATATATATATATAATATAATTAGTAAAATAAATAAAAGTTATACTAAAACCCAAGGAATAAATATAATAAGTCTCCCCATCTATAACCCTTTTCTATTATAAAGCGTCCAGTACATACTGCCCATTCTTTATATTTCCCCCATTCCTTTCTACCCGATACAAAAACCCTTCCTCCCCCCATTCTACATAGCCTGTCCCCCGATTCTCCCCAAAATACATGCATAGATTTTCCATAGTGACCCCCACCTATCCAGGTTCCCCATTAAATAAGGAGCTTGGATCATCTCCACAAAAGAATGATGCCCGTATTTACTTATTGTGTTTCTCCCCCCCCCATAGCACCTTGAATTCTACCCCCTGGGGGGTTCCCCATCTCAATTTTTTTCACCCCAAAATATAAAAACCAACCCCTCTGTTTTCCTGAGCTACGTCTAGGTAAGCAAAAAAGACCACCTGACCCTCCTTCCCCCCCATTTCCTATCATCGTTTTCCTACTTAAATAACAGAAATAAAAATTAGACTGATTCGAAATTTTCGGGCTCCTTAAAAAAAATCATAAGATTCCAAAAAAAATAAATACATCCTAATTACCATTAAATCTCCCTACCCCCCCCTACTCCTTTTTCCTCCAATTCCCTCCGCAAAGTCCCTTCCCCCGTTAACTAATTTAGAAGCTCAATCTCCGTCAACCTTAAAAA